GGCGATGACGAGGCCAAGCGCCGCGGCGTACAGAAGTCCATCCAGGAGCGCGCCGCGCCGGCCACCTTTGACGTCGCCGTGGAGATGCTGGACCGCATGCGGTGGCACGTGCACACGGACGTCGGCGCGGCTGTCGATGCCATGCTCGCGGGGCAGCACCCGGGCGGCCAGTCGCGCGAGCGCGCGGCGGACGGCACAATCCTCAAATACAACTACAACCCCGCGATCCCCAGCACGCGCGGCGGCGTCGGCGCCAAGCAGCAGGCGCGGTCCCCGCTGCCTGACGGCGCGGCGGCCGCCGGCGGCGGCGGGGGGGCTAGGAGCATCGTGCTGTCGAGCGTCGACGACGGGGAGGGGGCGCTGCGGACGCCGCCGGCGGGGGCGCGCGGCGGCGGCTTTGTGCGGCGCAGCGTGCCGGTCGCGGGCAAGGAGAAGGGGCCGGTCTCCGGTGAGGCCCACGCGCGCGCCACGAATGCATGCGCGGCGGCGCCGCCGCCGCCGCCGCCGCCGCGGCCCCAACACGCTGCACGCGCACCCGCCCGCGCGTTCCGCCATCCGTGCGCTGCCGCCTCCGACCCGCTCCCACGGTCCCCGCGCCCGGCTGCTCCCGCATGCCAGTGCGCCGGTCCTTGCCACCCACCCGTTTCATCCCCGCCGCCTCCCACCCCCTGCCCGCTCGACCCAGGTTCCATCGTGACGCGCCGCGGCCGCCGCGTGCAGCTGGGCACAGACAGCCCCGAGGATGCGCTGCTGCGGCTGCACATCGCGGACCTGGACGAGGAGAGGGTGTGGGAGGTTATGACGGCCATGGCCCTGCACGACAAGGTGGGGGGCGCGGTGGTGCTGTGGGGCGTGAGGGTTTGTGTGTGTGTGTTTTGTCTGTGTCTGTGTGTGCTTTATGTACGTGTGCATGTGTGTTTGTGTGGATGTGTAAGTAAGAGCGCGTGTGTGCGTAGGCGTGCACGCGCATGAGTGCATGTGTGTGTGTGTGTGTGAGTGTGTGCTTGAGTGTTTTTTTTTGTTGTGTGTGTTTTTGTGTGCGCGCGTGTGTGGGGGCGTGTGTATTTGTGTGTGGTGTTCGCAGCAGGGCTGTTCGAGGTCGACCCCGCAGGGCAAGGGTGGCTGGGAGGGATGGGCAAGTACTCGATGCGTGCTTGCGCAAGAGGCATAGCGGAACAACGCTGGATGCGAGGCAGTGACAATTTGCGGGTTCTTGCGCGTTGTGGCAGTGTGAGGGCCTTCAGTGTGGCGCAGACATCTGCTCGACCTGCCTCTCGGCGCCGCTCGCTCCCCGGGCCCCGCGCTCCCCCAACCCCTCCCCCTCATAACCCCACCCCCTCTCACACAC